CCCCCCCCCGGAGGATACCCACCATGCAAAATCTCCACCCCAGAAAATGTCCCCTTCCCCCAGAGGGTGCCCCCCCATGCCTTCTCCCCACCCCAAGGTAGCAACAAGCTAAGGCCCTCTACGGGGCCCTCTACACAGACTTGAGTCCCTGGGTGCTGGTCTCTGATCCTTGCTGACTGTGGAGCTTTATTAACGCCACAGGGACGGCCCCACCTTTCTGAAAGGACAGTGGTGGCTCCCCTAAATTGTGGAGCCCTGGGGATTTCTGCAAACCACTCCCCAACAAGGGCCAGGGCAGGTGTCCCCAGGACCGGGCGGGGCCGCGGCAGGCACTGTCATGGGCCTGACCAGCTCCAGTTCAGTCATTTGCAGCTGGCCTGGGAGATGCAGCTACTGGCACGTGTACGGAGGGCCTCTGATGGAGGCTTTGATAAGCCATGTGAGCATGTGGCTGGGGGCTCCAGCCCTACCCCACCCCTGGAAACAGACAGCAGAGGGCTCAGTGCCCTGACGGGGGCCTTCCACAGGCCACCCACACCGGAGCTGCAGGCCCCCTTCCCCAAGAGAGTGGTTTTCAAGACACTGTGTTATGAAGAACAGTCTCAGCAAATGGCCCTGTTCATGTCAGGAGGGGTGATAATCAGGGAGCCCCAGTTCTGGTTCATCTCTGCCCTGTGCACGCGCCTCTGCAGTCCGGGGGGTGCGCAGTGCCAGCCGGCGTCCCGATGGCTGTGAGGGGAGTGAGAGGGTGTGGGAGGAGCGTGTGTGGTGCTGGCCCTTCCTGACAGCTTTGTGGGCGAGTGGGGGTGATGCGCACTGCCGGCCTGCGACCTGACGGCTCTTGGGGGGCCGCTTGTGGTGCTGGCCCTTTCCGACGGCTTTGTGGGGGGTAAGGGGTGTGGAGGTGGCATGTGCAGTGCCATTCTATGTCCCAACGGCTCTGGGAAGGGGGCACTTGCAGCACTGGCCCTTCCCGACCACTGTGGGGGGGGATAAGGGTGTGTGGAGGTGATGCACGCGGTGCCGGCCGGCGTCCCTTCGGCTTTGCTGCCCGGGCAGGGGGATAAGGCCGCGCGCCAGCACGTGCCTCAGGCTTCCGGCAGGAAGTCCCTGCGCGGGCACACGCCTAGTCACCGGGGCGCAGTCCCCACGAAGGAGGTGGTGGTCGAGGGGGCGGTGGGGGCATTGCTGCTCAGGGATAAGGAATCTGAGGAAGTTCGGTTTGGCCGACCAGGTTCGATGTGAACATTTCTTCCGCCTAAAATGGATGCCCTGTTGCCGCTATGAGTCTATCCCGACTCAGCGACCCCAGTAGGACAGAGTCGAACTACCCCGTAAGGTTTCCAAGGAGCAGCTGGTGGATTCGAACTGCTGACCTTTTGGTTAGCAGCCAAGCTGTTAACCACTACACCACCAGGGCTCCAAAACGGAGGCAGCCATGTATCCGGCTAAGGCTCAGGCGCACTGGAGTGGGCCGGAGCAGGAGGTGCTGAGACACGCCCAGGATTGCTATGCCAATTCCCACCCCCAGCCGCAGTCCCCCAGGAAACTGGTTGCTGGTCCACGATTGGGACCTTGTTCATCTGGTCCAAGTGCCCTCGGCCCAGACAGCCTCTGCTTTCTTCCTAGTCCTCACACCCACAGGGGCTTTTGAACAATTAAATGGAAGTTGTATTGAGAGTGGGCACGGCATAGAGGCCATTTCTCTGTGCTTTCGCCTTGCCCCAGCTGTTTCCCCTTTTTGATCCAGCTTTGGTTCCCACGGAGGGGCACCAGTGGCATGGGGCGGACACATCCAGGGTGCTCACAGCTGCAGCTGGTCTCCCCCAGCACACAGCGTCAGGTGCTATGTGTGCCTGGGGAGCACTACGTGGGGCCTGCAGGCTGGAAGACCAGCTGCTTCCCAAGGGAGCCGGAGTCACGGACACAGGAGTTTCGTTCCGCGCTGTGTCAACCTGGCCGGGGAAGCTGAGGCAGGAATCAGGCAAGGCCCAGAACATGCCTGAAGGGGGCTGGGTGCCGCAGGTCAGCTTCCAACCCAGGTGGGCAATGTGGTGGCAAGGACTCCTGGCTTTGCCTGTCAGCTGCAGTGGGTTCTGGCCACATGCCAGGCCTGCGCTGGCCATGACCCCAGCTGGACTCCCTGACCCCGAGAAGTGCCGGTGGTGGGCAGAGGCGCCCTTGGGTTCCATGGGGGTTTGTCCAGGTCAAGGGCCGGGGACTGGAGGAGCCTGGAGGCAGGGTACATCCCTCTCATCTTACTTAGAATGGCTGGACTTTCACCTGTGTCTCCTTTTTGCACGGCTGAAGTGCTTCCGGAATGTCCAGCCTGAATGATGAGCTAAGGCGTGAGACCTGTGCCCCAGCCCCGCACTGTCTACCGAGTGTCATCCTCACCTGGGTAACCAAGTGCCTGTCAGTCAACAAAGTAACTGCCCTCAACCTGTTACTGTTTTGCACACACATTGTATCGAACTGATGTTAAATCATCTAACTGTACACTTCGGTTACAGATATTTGAAAAATAAAAACTTCCTGTGGCAGAAAAAAGTGAATCTATTTTGGTATCAAAGTCACAGGACTGCAGGTTGATTTCTTGTGCTTTAATATCAGCAGTCAAACGAAAGTACATTTCAACAGCCCTGGGTCCCCTCGGCCCCAGGCTGTGCCTGCTTCAAACGCTCATCGGCCTGTTTGCAAGTTCCTCAGGAATACAAAAATAACTGCTACAATTTCTCCGTATCTGGCGTATAAAAACTGAGCAAAAAGTATCTCAGTACATCATCGCCTTAAAACAAAACATTTCAGGAAAAATACAACAGGTTTAACTTCTGCGGCTATTTTTTTCATATAAAACACTAGTAAAATAGTCTTCTTAAAAATTAAATAGTGAAATGCCAACCAAACTATATACATCGTTACAGTAACATCATTACAGTACAAGCGAACAAGGCAAAGTTCTCAGGTGCGAGGGAGGCACCGCCGAGTGGGGCCGAGCCGGCTGTGTCCGAGGCCACCTTCTCCTGACGCTGGTCCTGGACGAGAGGCTCCGGACGACAGAAAAACAAAGAGGGGAAGCCAGTCCCCGGGGAGACTAATGGCCACTTCTGAGGACAGACAGAAAACGACATTTTTATTGCTTGCCAGCTCGGGCACGTTCTCCTGGTCCGGACCCTGCTCCACGGGGGTGCCTTGGGGGACCCTCTGCAGCAGCCCGGGCAGGAGCTCAGTGGGCGTCACAGGCAGCAACGTGCATGCAGGAGAAGACGGCGGAGACCCCTCTGCAGCCCTCAAGATCTGAGACGAGCTGTCCCCGGTCTTTCAGGGCCCCTCAGGGTCCCCCAGAGTCCCCGGAGTCTCAGCGGGCACCGTGGAAGCCTCTGTCCCCTTCCCGGGCAGGACGGCGTGTCCCCGGCGCTGAGGCAGGCAGCACCAGACGGTGGGGCAGTTGGCTGGGGCACGCCGACCCCTGCTGACCGCACCCCCCACCCCGTGGCCGCCTCTCTGCCGCCGCCCCACGCGGGGTGTCTACGTCCGGCGCCGCTTGGCGGCACTGGGGCTGGAAGGGTTGCTGTTTGTCGTCAGGACCTTGTCGGTGACCCGGCTGCGCTTCCGCTTGTCTGCCCCTTCTTTGCAAGCTAAGTCTGAGGAGTTCTTGTCTTTCTCTTTGCTGGACTTTTCCATCGCTTTCCCCAAGCTTCCTGAAGATGAAAACACTGAGAAAGAAAACCATCTGGCTGTAATTGCCGGTCATGCTGGAAACAGAACGTCCCGCCTCGCACTTCACCCGCCCGCTCAGTTCAAACACGCCACGCGGGCACACAGCCCTCGGGGGCCTCTACTGAGCTGTGGCCTCCCTGCCTCTGAGAGGGGCGTGAGTGGGCCTCCCCGCCGTCAGGGCCTCAGGCCTCTGCCACAGACATCGACAGTGGCCCGTCCAATGACCCCACCCCTCGCCCCGTCTGACCACGCTGAGCTGCCACACAGCTGCACAGGGAACACCCGTCGGGCATCTTGTCTGTGTTTATGTTGAACGGACTCACGTCTCCCTGACCAGTAACTGAGGCTGCGCTGCTGCCCCATTCACCCCGGATGGCTGTGGGGACGTCACCGCATCTCGGTGTTCCGGCCCAGCAGGCTGGAGCTGCCTTTTAAACTAAGCCAGAGCATTAGAAAGGGATTGGCCAGCAAGCTGATGCTCCTGAGGAGACAGGCGGTGAAATCCGTCCACGCTGCGGGTGCCTCCCAGGGTGCTGTGCCTGACCCTGGGTGGGGGACGCCCGCTGCCTGCACTCACCATCGTCAGCCCCATTGTGGGGGTCTACGTCTTCCTTCATTTCTTCTTTTATCTCCTCCTCGATCACTTTTCCTGTGGAGGGAGACCGCGGACATTCACCGAGCGTGGAGGCGGGGGACGGGCCCCGCCTGGGGGAGGCTCATCTGGTGAGCCACCAGAGCCGGGGCGCGGCCAGCCGGTGCTGCGGGACGGCGCACAGCTTCTGCCAGGCCGTTTCTCAAGCCAAAGACCCTCTCCCGCCACGGAGGACCCCTGCCCCCCACGTACAGGCTGAGGCGGGGTCCCACGGCACCCGTTCACCTCCCTCCCAGACCCTGGTCCTCCCTGGCACGTGGCCTCACCCAATGCCGCCACCCTCGGCCAGCTCCTGCCCTTTTCTAGTCTCCAGACCCAACCTCTCCCACCCGCATCTCACCTTCTCGGACCTCCTGGATGATTTCCTCCGGAAGGACGAAGTTCCTCTCTGGATTCGGAAAGGGGAGAATCTCAGATTCGTGCTGGCATCAGAGAGGGCGTTATGTTTTTTTAAGAAACAAAGAAAATGCAATTTCAGTCATTAAAAGCGTATGAAGCTAATTCAGGAGCAACCAATGAATGCAAACACCCAAGTGTCCTGGGGTTGGGGGTTGGGGACAAGCAGCACCCGGAGCAGCCCCAGCCTGCCCGCTGACACGCTCCCAGGGGCCAGGCAGAGGCAACGTTGTAGGTGCCGCACAGTGGGCTCACAGCTTGCTCACCCGAGCTGGCCAGACCACACCCCGCTCAGAGTCTGAGGTGGAGGGCAGGGCGGGGCAGAGGGAGCACTGCGCAGAAGGCAGGGCAGGGCTGAGGGAGCACTGAGCAGAGAGCAGGGCGGGGCTGACAGCACTGGACAGAGTAGGGCTGAGGGAGCACTGGCCAGAGGGCAGGGCAGGGCTGACAGCACTGGGCAGAGAGCGGGGCTGAGGGAGCACTGGGCAGAGGGCAGGGCAGGGCTGACAGCACTGGGCAGAGAGCGGGGCTGAGGGAGCACTGGGCAAAGGGCAGAGCAGGGCTGACGGCACTGGGCAGAGAGCGGGGCTGAGGGAGCACTGGG